TGTAAATGGGGCTATAACACTTCTTAAGAGAAAACATTTCAAAATCACATCATGTAATTCATGACCAACAATCACCTAACAGATTGCATAAGGATAAAAACCTTTCTGGACATAATCATTCCTTTAATAGAGAGTTAAATCCCTAAGTTATATGGTCACATCAAATGCAACAAAAAAGTAGTATAAAAATATGCATTGAAAGGATGGTTGCTGGCAAAAGAAGTGAGGGTGCTCAACAAAGAAGGTGGCATGACAAAATAATTAAATGAACACAACTCTATATTGGATTCTTAAACTAGAGACAGTGAACTATGGAGTTAGTTGAGTCATGTGGGTGTACATTTTGCTATAGGCAGAGAGAGTGTTCTATGATGATGCATTGAGTTCATCATTTAAAGCCCCTAACTTTAAAATGTTAGCAGTGAGGGATCTTGTACTTTATGAATATTTCTGTTTATATTAAATTGTTATGCTATAAGCTATATCTTTAAAATATTAAATTGTTAAGCTATAAGCTATATCTTTTAAAGAGCCAGATCAGTCTTCACTTTCCAGTCCTGAGAGAGTCCAAAAGGATATCCATCTCCTTGTGGGTGATGAATTATTTTGCATCCTACAACCCCTTTCTCACAGACATATGTTGGAAGCCTCTCACTGTTCTATCGCTATTTCCATGGAAAGTGTTCCGACGAACTACATTCTTAAGTTCCACCAGTTCTAACCTTCATCATGCTGCACACATTGTAGCAAATCAACCTCATTCCCTTCATGTTCCATTGGTGAGTACCACTCATACAGCTTCTGCCAATGAACTGCTACTCTGTAGAACTGGCTCCCAGAGGATGCTTTCCTGATCACTACAATCTTGGCCTGTCTAGAGTCAACCATTATCTTCCTTATGTATCTCCATAAAATGTACCGATTATTCTAACTCTACCTTGAGTAGCTTTTAGGCCTTGTACAGGGTGAACAAGATTGTAATAAAAATAAAGAATTAAAGTTCCAAATATCATAAAATGTTTGCCTCACTTGTCAGATAGTTCAAGCTGATAAGAGAACAAATAAATAATTAAATAGTTGCATTCAACCCTGTCTTATCTGAAAAATATTATTAATTTTTTTTTTTTTTTAATTTCAACATGGATTACATTCAGAAGCTCTGGACAGGGAAGATTCTCATCAATAATGTTAATTTCATTTAACATTCATCAGCAAAGTGCCAAACAATCTTTTGATGAACATAAATGATGTAGGTAGACAAGTTGTAATGTCAAAAAGTTACATTTGAAGGTAGAACAAATTGATGATGATTACTATAGAATTATTCCACTACAATTATATATAAGTACAAAGTGTTACTCAAAATGTGAGATTATCTGAACAATGCAAACTGATTGATCACCAAATGTATATATAGTCCTGGGTATGACAATAAACAATATCCGGCAGCAAAGCCTCTGATCAGGAGACTGGAAGTTTTGAGGAGCATGGAAACACCTCTTAATTGCTGTTGTTCCCAGGTCCACCCTGACAAGGGGTGGTAACACCTGTTAGGATCCCAGCTATGGGCAAATAGTGAACTCCCAAACAAAAATGAAACACTATGAAACACTAAAGATACCAGCAATACATTTTCATATAAAAAGATTACCAACAATACATATTTGTAATTAAACTACCACCAATACCTATTTATCACAGAATTACCAACAAAAGATTTTATCTGTAGTTGAAGGCATATAATTGTGTTCAAAATATTTGGATTAAATAACCCATAGAGATTGATATGCTGTCAAACAAAATCACCAACCAATGTTTATAGAACCATTTGGCCATAGTGTCATGAGCAAAATATTTTTACAATACAAATGCTTTAAGGATGAATGAATCAATGACAATGAGTGTTCTAGACAAATGTTGACAGGTATGACACTAAAAGGCTATAGAAAAGTGCATGAGATATTCCATGTAGTAGGCAAACTATCCATAATGTTTATGGAATTATATGATTGTCATATATTTTGTAAGTTGTACCATAAATAAGAAACCATGGCCAGAAATAATATGGTATTGCTATCTGTAGAGAACTAAAAACTACAACCTGAGACAATCCCAACTTCATCATTAAGATCATAACCAGTCATTAATAATGAGTAGATGGTTACAATTTGAAGACAATACAGCAATGATTGTAAATATAAAACAATATCAAGTAAATCTATAAAAGTGCACCCACCTACACATGAAACATTGTTCAACATTTCCTGGTTTCCTGAGTAGTTCTCCATAGCTCTTATGTCCCTGCAACTTATTCTTCTTCTCCAAAATGAAATTCCAGCTGATAGGGCATCATTTTAACATAAAACAAAACCAGTGGAAGTGCATGATACAATCACATCCATGTATAGAAAAAATATTTGGATTGTTGTAGACATTACCAAAGAGATGACGACTTCAAAGGAAACAATGAAAACTAGGATAAGAAATTTTTTTCATGGTTACATTCTCTAAATTTTTGGGTACTATCAAATATTTAACTCTTTGGCAAGGCATAGCACTCAATCAGCAACCCTGCCAGGGATACAGAAAAGCTACGGGACTGCAGCATGTTAAATTATGAAGAGGCAGCAGAGTTCAACTGAGCCATTGGTGCTACCTACCCACATTGACGCAAAGCAGAGTAATCCTAGATCAAAGGTCAAGATCACCAAGCACTATCAAGAAAGTTACTGCCATACATTTGTGTGTGTGTGTGTGTGTGGGGGGGTTCTCTCCATAGTCGTGTAATCAGCTAATGAAACATTTATTAGATTAATTATCACGACATCCTTTAATTCACTGAAATTATTATAATTTTATATATTTAATACAAATTAGGCAAAATTTTTTATTCTATGTTGAAATACTAAATTCCTAAGTGATAAAGTAGTAAACTAAGAATTGATATTCTTTATCTATATATAAAATTCTGTGACTTCTGTTAGTCTGTCTATCCATTGTACCCACTAAAATAGCCATAAATTAACTGATTGAAACCAAATTTTGAGGAGAAGTGCAAACAGGTAAGCGGGTACAAAGTATAGTGGTTTTACTAGGTTACAATAAATTTTCCTTCATTTATTTGGAAAAATTAAAAGTTTCATTATTTAACATACAAAATATTCCCATTATTTTAAAACCAATTTAATGATTAAAATAACAAAATATTTATTTAATAAAAATGCAATATTGTTTTTTCATATCTTTTCTTTAAGGTTTTATATGCAAGAATCCACTTTCCAGTTTGCCCCGCATCTGTGAGAACTATAAACAAATCACAAGACCAAACACTTCAAAAAGTTGGAATTTGGCTCCAGAAAGAAATATTTACACATGGCCAGTTGTATGTTGCCTGCTCAAGAGTAAAAAATCCTAAGAATTTATTCTTTGCTGTTAAAAAGGAAAAAATAATTTTCTTAAAAAATATTGTTTACCATGAAGTCCTATAGAATTAAAATACATTAAAGAAATTATCAAACCGCAAAGTAGGGTTTTTGTCAAAGTATTTTCCCAAGCAAATCAGCTTATTCAAATTTCATCAATTGGTTTGTGAAATTGAACGAAATGTAGAGTTTGTAAATCTCAGTAAAAAATGTTAGTGATAGCTACAACAATACTAAATAGTGTGAGGATTTCAACACATGTTGCAAGAAAATTCTAGTTTATAAAAATTACAAAATTTAGAAAGAATTAATTAATGATCGTCACAAGTCGAGACTTAATTTTTATTTGATCATTTAAATTTTATTATTGCAACTGTTACTAAAAATTGATTCTCAAGATTAAAATTCAAAATACTCCCAAGGTCAATAGGCTAAACTGCAATCAGTTCATGACTTTTCCCAACATAAAATTTGACATAAAATGGTGGTTGATTAAAAGAGAAAATAAATTTTTATATGACGCTTTAGGTAGTTTCCAATTAACAGCAACTTCAAAATTGACCTTGTTTTTCTTTAATTTCTTCATCAACCTCAAAATTAATTAGAGGAGCTTAGAAATAAGAAATTTCTTGTCTTGTTCCTCAATGAATATAATGGTCATATATAGCAAATCATTTTTAAGGAATTCTACTTTCAAGCAGTAAAATTAAAATATTCAATTTAATTAAATACTTTATTTTTACAATATTTTCTTAAAATGATTCCCAACTTTTCATCTTATGTTAAAAGTAAGAAGTAAAATCTCAAGTAAAATATATTAAAATTTCATCATAAAGAGAAAACTCTGCACAATACTGTTACTAATACAGAAAATCTTGCCTCAAGTTATAATTTGCTTCCTTATGGGATTTTTCTGATATTTGGTGTAACAAGTATGGGTGAAGTTGAGATAAAATGAAAATACTGTTTTAATATTTTTTATTATACGAAGAAAACAATTTTCCACACTATCCACTTTTCCTTTAAGTCTGAAATTTAAACATTGAAAATCTCATAAGCTACTTACTACTCAAATTCTTTATTTATGAGGTGTAATGGCATCATCAACATTTATGAAGGTTCCCTCTAGTTTACAGATTCTTATCCTTATCTTTGCTGTTTTTTTTTGTTGCAAGAAAACATCTAAAATGTCAACATATGTAAAAGGAACTGTTAAAATTGATTTTGCTTTTAGATATCCACAATTTACAAACACATATTCTCTGCCTCTAACCCACACAAAAAAACAGTTAATAAATTTCAAGAAGTAAACAAACTGTTCACATTGGATGATTCTATGTGAAACTAAACAAAGTTGAGGATGTTTATCCAAAACTAAGGTTATCCAAAATGATATACAACAGAGAAAGGAATTACACAAGCCTAACGATGATTATACTAATCTGAAAAAGAAATTATTGTACAAATGAAAAAGCTCACAAGTTATATTTTTCAATGTATGAACATTATATAGTAATATTTTTTTTAATAAAGATGGAATGAGTTTGCAGCTGACAATTCTATGAATAAAGGACTAACCTGTGCAGACTTGGAACATGTACACGTCGTTGTTGCTGCCGATCGTCCTGGAAATGTAATGCTATCAGAGCTGGTCAGGCTACCATGGCTTTGTGTCTGACTACTCTGTGGTGATGCACTTGCAAAACCCTGAAAAATAAAGACACAATGAATTATAGTTTAAAGTCAAGAGCTTTTTTTCATTTTTTTTTAATTTACTATAACCAAGCATTAATAAAGTTGGATATTTTTCACAGTTGTCTTTCATCCACTGGTAATTTATTCAGACTCATAGTCAAAATGTAAGTTTAACAGACATTATCAGAGAATAAGAGAATAGATACTCATGTATCAAAATCATTTCATTTGAAATACAAACTTTCTTTATATATTTCTTTTTGGGTCTCTTCTGTAATAATATTAAGAATTTTTCTTTATGAAAACCCATAATGAATCTGCTCTATTTTCATGAGATAAAGCATTCACAATTTACAATATATAAATTCTAACTGATCCCTATATGAATGAAACCAATAAAGTATAACAAATATTTGAAGTGAACAACAATGAACAAACATTTCATCTAAAGTGATAATAATGATAGATTATATAAAATGAAAAAAAAACTGACACTATTATGTTAACTACTTAAAAACAAAAAACAATTTTCAAAATACTATGGGTAATTCTCTTGTCACAATTTGGACTATTCTCTCTTTACCTACCAATTCTTTGTTCTTATTTTCCCACCCATATTTTGTTGTCTCCCATTTAACTTTCTTTCACATTATTTCAGCTGTTAAATCCTCTTTTACTATGCATTTATGCCTTTTAAACTTGCATAAGAATTTTCTTTTTTTTTTAAATCTTAAAATTTTTGTCTAAAAAAAGGAAATATTTTATATTTTATTTTATACAGGTATTTATTTCAGAAAATAAATTTATTTCAGATAAGAAGTTAAAAATGTCTTACTCTTAAAACCCAAATATACTTTTGATATTATTCTGGTAACAATTTTGAACTCAACCAGTCCATTAAGACATGGCACAAAAGATGAACTGTGTATTAAAGATAATATCATAAAAAAATGGTTAATTAGGTACAAGTAACTGCTGTGCTAACAGAATGGCAAAACAATAGTATCTATTATAATTATGTAAGAAGCATAGTTGCAATAATAATTTACATGCAAATTATAGAATGAACTGAGAGGAACTTATGTTATCTATAATATGTTGACTTGTGAGTAATAGAAAGATAAAAGAATTTGCAGATAATGCTTCCTGAGTAGGCAAATCACCAATTTCTTACTCATAAGTATGACATCAAGGGGAGTGAATACAAAAAGCAATAAACTGCTTTTACCCATAATTCTATTCCTCAGATAAAACATTTTTATGGAAATATGACTTTTAAGCAGAAATCAAAATCTGAGAAACAGATGAAAGTAAAAGAACAGATAACAGGATAAAGAAGATAGAAAAAAACACGAGTACCTTATCTACCCTTAGGAAAGAGTTTAAAATAATTGAGAATGAGCATATATTGTTCAATATATTTTTGATTCTTTTTTTCACTAATAATGATTCAAACAATATACATGTAGCAAATTAGTTAATGGATAAACCACAAACAAAATTTGCTTTAAAACATGTGCAGCTGTTTCAAAGGAAAAGACTAGATATAGATAATACATAGCTGGAAATTTTTAAACATCCAAGATAAATATACACATAAATAAAAGAAAGAGTAGTGCTTAATTCATGGAAATTGTATAAGTATAAAACTATTGTAGCATAAGTGTATGTATATATATGATTATACACTCCAAGGACTTAATGCAGACATGTAGGGACTTACATAATTTACTTGTTATAAACAGTCATGTTAAATATTAAACTTGAAAACATTTACCAGAAACTAAAAAAAAAAAAAAATAAAATAAAATTTACTCATTTTAATCCAGTAAATTTCAAATATTTTTTCTTTGAAAAATAGAAAATATAACACTTCATTTCATATCACTGAAATATCATACATGGGTATATCTGTGGATATACATATATACAAAGGTATGTAAATAGGTATAATTATTTTAGTCAGATTATACATACATACACAGACTCTAAATTAATTTACAATAAAAACACAAAACAGCAGCAATAGGCATTTACAAATCATTAAAACAAAAACAAGATTCTTTTCAGGGATAATGGAGTTCATTGCATATAATAAAAAAATAAATGAGAATGGAATGTCAAAAAAGAAAAACAAAACAAAGAAAGGTATTAAATAACTTTCATAGCCAAATCAGTCTCCTTTTCCTCCTTACATGAATCCTATTGAACATGTATGGGCCATTTGGAAATGGTGACATAAGGTAAATGCTCAAGAAACCTATAAAAGGAAATTTGCTCTGTGCTTTCAATGCAGCCTGACTGGATTTCCCACAAGCGAACATGACAGAAAAATTAAAAATTATAAAATCTGCTTACAGCAAATCTTCCAACCCATAATTTGTATAAAAAAAAATTATATATTTTTTTACATTTTTGAACTTATTAAATCTGATAAATTGTTTTGATTTTAGCAAAACTTTCAGGATTTATTCACAAATGAATTAAATTATTTTTTAAACCTTTTTTTTATAATAAATTTTTATAAGAATTGTTTTCATTTTTTTTTTTTTTTTTTTTAATTAGAATAATTCTTAGATAATCTTAGTAAAAATATTTCTTTATATATCTGTTGCCCACACTTATTTATAAAATTTTGAGAAATTCTTTTTTGTAGTGCCTTGGAGAATTTAAATCATTTAATATTTTTTTTTTGTTAAATTGGACCCGTCAGTTATCAAAAATGTGTTTAAAATTGTAAAAAAAAAAATGCTATAAAACTAAGACATTATTTAATTATAAAAGCTTTTAATTGTTTTTATGGATAAAAAATATTATGGATACTATTGCCTTGAGAAAAATTTTTTTTGATTTTTTTATAAGAATTGTTTTCATTTTTTTTTTTTTTTAATTAGAATAATTCAGTATTAATTTGTAGAGTTTAGGTCGTATTGTTATCAAGTAAAAAGTATATTCACTAGTCATAAATGGAAAAGCTTACTTCAGTTCAGCGACATCCAGTATTTAAAAAAAAAAAAATATTCTGTCTGTATAAATGTACCAACTTTTTGTAAATATGGACATCCATACACGACATTATCAGAAAATAAGAGCAGTAACTATAAAAAATTTAAAATTTATTGGTAATTTTATAACATTTCCTCAACAAGTGTCTTCATATGTAAGATTATGAAGCCAAAGTACCTAATATTCAATAAAATATAAAGTACCTAATATTCAATAAAATATTATATTACTTAGAATATTTTCCTAAATTTTTAAGAATACTGGGTTGTTAAAAATTATCTAAAAATGGCATTCATATTGCATTCAAGTAATTTATACAGTTATGAGCCCTTTACTTATAAATGCCAAACATTAAGTTACTGATAAATCTCTCAACACCTCATCAAAAAACACCCATCTCAGTGTTAAAAAAATTCTTTTCTGTGATATTTTAAACTAAGAGTAAGTAATATTTGTTTTAATTCAGATTAATTAAACTTTAAGTCAGTTAATCTTTCTGAAATAAAGTTTCAGAAAAGTATATTTTATTTTTGAAAGATTTTTTTGATAAAGAGAAATGCTTGGTTGTCAGATTTGTCAATATGGTAAATTTTAGTGTATGTCAAAAAAAATCATTGCAATCAATTTAAATTCAGTTTGAAATCCAGCAAAGTTTATTGAAATTATTAAATTTAATCTATTAGCTTAGAGTCAAAAATAAAATAAAAGCTTCAAGATTTTTCATTTTTAAAATGCAGTTTAAACCTTAGACATCACTTTTTTATGGAGGTAGCTAAACACACACACACACACACACACACACACATATATATGTGCCATAATTTCCTTTGATTATTTAGTCCACCAAGCTGTTAATTGTTCTCTTGAGAACAAAGCACAATTACTTTCTGATTGGTCATTGGCTGATTCACTCAGTACTTGGTGAGACTCAATGAAGCAGTATTCTCTTTATGTTTCAGTTACAAGTGCAGCCTTTTAGAGAAGAATAAGCATGAAAAGAATATAAAATTACTTTGACCATTAGGATTTTAAATATTTCAAAATAGGTAGAAAACTTATATGACAGCTAATGAAAATTAAAGAAGTCATTTTGAAGGTGCAAATAATGATGCCTTGTATTAATAACAGTAGGACAATGTCAGAATGGAAAGATTCAGAACTGTTGAACAAATAGGACCAAAACCAAGATGATGATCGGCCTGAATTTAAGTAAGTGACTAACCAACAAATAATGAAATATGGATTGTGATATTATTTTAATCAGGAACTTAATGAAGGCTGTCAATTATTTTCATAAGATATCAGAACAGATTTTGTTAAGATGCTGTCACTTAAAAGACAATAGCAATGAACTTTCAGTTAATTCTTCTAAAATCAATGAAAGTTCAGGTTGTTATTAAAACTATAATAATAAAAAAAAGTTTACTGTTTTTTTGGGTTTTTTTTAAAGTTGATGAATTTTCTTTAGTCTTTGTTTAATCATAAATGTTTCATCTTTTAATGAAAAATTGTTTTATGTTCTCTTCTATAAATTCTTAAACAAAAATAGAAAATATATATATATATATGTTTAAATTATTTATTAACAAAATAGCAGTGAAATGCTCTTGGCCAAATCAAGAAGGGATTCTAAAACAAATTCTGATGTTTATCCATTTAGTCAGATTTTAGGAAGTGGGTCAAGCTGAGAACTTTTCAGCACTTCCTTGTGTGTTGGTTTGTACAACCAGGACAGACACACACACACACACACACACACACACAGATGACTCCATATTGTCAGCCATATAGAAATAAAGTATATCAGCACTTTGTCAGCATCTAAATGCAAGCACAATACTATCCCCACTTCTCCATTATCTAATCAACCAAATACAAGTATACATACACAAAATCAAGCAAACACTGATGCAGAAAGAAACATTTATATAACACACGTTTTCTGATTTATCCACTGTATTATTTCAGTATCATTGACTTATGATAAATTGATAACAAACAGGAATCAGGATCTAAAAGCCATTAAAACTCATTATCTTGAAATAATAAAATTCAAGCAGCTTATTTATCTCTTTCAAATATCAACACAGTATGCGACAAGAGTAAAATAACAAAAACAGATCATTTTACAAAACATGATGTCATTCAAGTGGCATTACTGATTGAAAATATTTCTCACAAAATAACCACACTTCCATGTGCAAAAAAGTTTGTCTATAGGGGCATCAGATAATTAGTGGGCTGCCATACTTGAAACAGCTAAATCAGCAATAGACTATAAAAAAAAAGGAAGTGTCAAGTCTAATGAAATTTTTACTTGACCTCATATGAATGATATAATGGAAGCTTTTAGAAATTGTTTTATAAGGTTTAGAAAACTAAAATAAGAAAAAACATATTATAGGGAAAATATCCTGTTTAACGACAGTTGTAGCCCTTGAAAAGTCTGACTAAAAAAACCCAACCCCAATATTTAGCTATCTGGTCAGATTTTGGGAAATGGGTTGAGCCAAGAATTCTCACTCTCTCTTATGTATGTATATCTACATACTTGTTCAGAATGAATGAGATCCAGTTAAAAAAACAAAAACAAAACAAAAACAAAGCATTTAAAATTGAACACAAATGTTGTGTGAAGCTAAGAACATAAAGTATAACTGATAACAAATGCAGCAATGTAAGACATGTTCTGTACTCACATAATATTGCATTGCTTGTGGAGAGGGAGACTTGGCCCCAGTGGAACTGACGCCACTACTTCGTCCAGGGGACTGACTCTGCTGCAATAAATAAGACAGGTTCAGTATGGAAAGACATGTAGGCAGACATTCACAAGCCAATCATCAAGATAAATGCCATTATGCATATATGAATGTGCAAATGGAGCAAAGGCAAGAGAATATGGGGCAGAGTAGTTTATTCATTCATAAAAATAAAATGCAAAACACAGAAAAAAAGAAAGTCTGATGATGATGAGAAAGGTTTGGTGATAAAGTTTCTGAGAAACTGACAAAGAAATGCAAGGTAAGTGATGAGAGCAAAAAGTGAATGCTAACAAAGAATCAAAAGATGAGTGAAGCTATAGTGCAAAAGTAAGCAGTTGAAAGATGATGGCAACAGACTAAAAGAGTAAAAAAAAAAAAAAGGGAATATTTGAAGTTTATGAAGGGTAGAGGTGAAGATATATATATATATATATATATATATATATATATATATATATATATAAAAGAGATAGAGAAGTTACAAAACAAAGAGATCTTATTATAACCTGAAAGAGAGAAACAAGAAGGAAAAGCAATAAAAGAGATCAAAATGGAATACAGAGCAAATGCAAGAGGATAGGTATTCAAGAAGAAAGGAGAGGAATGAAGTTAAATAGAGAAAACCCAAGGTTTAAAATGTTATGATCAAATGTCTCTTGTGCAACCAAATGGTTAATAAAATCAAAGAGGAAAACATGGCTGCAGATTGTTCAAGTTTTTGTTATAACCTATTGTTAATACAAAAGCAAAAATCAATGACCAATTATGATTAAATATTTAAACATTTGTTTCAAGAATTGTACTTACTTTTTTAAAGGTGCTTTTAATTTTATTATTTATGCTACAATCTATTATCTACATCTTATAAAAGTTCATAGCTGAAGTTTCTTTGTTGAATAACCAGGTAATTAACAGATTAAATGGTCAATGATACTGAGAAATGGACAAAATAATCTTTTCACTTTTGTCCTAAAGGAAAAAGACAGCATAAGGAGTCTAACTTCAACCAAATGTGCAGTGAGAAATTCACATTCATAAACTTTGTAGCATTTTTAGGACAATGTAGAAACTCCTCATACATTTTAATGAGCTTTTAATGCTTACTTATAAGAATAGAGATTCTTACTAATGTTGATATAAAAAAAAACATTTATTCATTTGATGAATATTATATATAAATAAAATATTACAAGGACATACAAAATAACCAACAAAGTCTGTTTTGATAATCTATAATAAAAATTATAAAATGTTATGAGCTGACAAATATTTCCGCAGTCAGATTTAGAATAAAAATGCCATTTTAAGTTATAACTCTGTACATCATTTGGAATTGGTGATTTTACAAGCACATAAAAAATTTTAAAAAGAAAAATACAAAAAAAATTATTCTGACTGTATTTGTTTAACTAAACATAAAAATAAGCCTCATAAATTCAATTAAAATGTCCTTGAAGAAATGTTCTATAATATTGAATTCATTATTTATTGTAACAAGTGCATACTTATCAAAAAAACATATGAAGAAAGATAATACTAAAATCTATTAAAATTCAATACTTCAGTAAGAACCTAATATCATCCATGATATAGAACAAGAAACATTATTAAATTAATTTCTTTAATCATATTGCTGTTTCTCATTCAACATCTTGGTTTGTTTATAAAATAAATTATTATTAATTTACGATTTCCTTTCATTTGCTACATTTCTGATATTTTATTTCATTAAACATACAATTCTATCAGGTTGTTCAACTTGATATGGTCAGTTCATTTAACCATAATTGAAAAAAAATACAATGAAAAAGCAGGATGTAAAATTTCTATCATCATCCATTTCAATTTTAATAACATCATCTTTGGTTTCAAATAGAGCATTTTATCTTGGTCAACAAATCTGTGTATATTTGTCCACTTTCAAAGAGTCTCTAATGTAGGGCAAATTATCTCTGATATAATTATCTAGCCGAACATGTCATGTTTTGGCAAAGAAACAATGGTTAACAGTCACATCATTATCCATGGTTTTTAAGTGACATACCTGGCTATTTATTCATGACAAATTTATTTAACAGAAAGAACATTTGTGGAACCAACACTCACTATCAAAAAGGAAAAAAGAAATACTAAACTGGAAATAAAATTTTGAGAATACAAAAAGACTACAATATCAACTCTATAAGAGTTGTTTTTTTTTTGTTTTTTTTTAAGATTTGGTCACCATCACAAATAAATACTGTTTCCCTTGTGTAAATCATATTCTCTTTAAGATAATGTGTTGGTGATCATGACTTTTAGATATTTGTAACTTGGGCCTTTATATACAATCTAATATATTTTTCTTTTATATCATTCTGGCTTTGAAATTTATTTGTTTAAAGGTGAAACAATATTTATGCCTTGGAATTAGAAACATTAAAAAAAACAAAAAAAAAACAAAGAGCTTAATCTGAATTCAAAGAACTTTACCACCAAAGAGATTTAAAATCATAATCAAGACAAAACATGATGTTAAAAAGTCATAGGGCTACATTCAAAAATATAAGTAGCAGATAATAGACAATGTCAAATTAATAATATTCAGTAAGAACTTAATTCATGAGAATTTTTTTAGATATTGAGTTCAAACTTTGTTATTTCTTCTACTGACCCTATTTTCAGTAAAAGATTTATATAATTCATCAAATAAACAAATGTTAATGAAAGCTTTTCTCTAAGGTTGTTCAATAAATGTTCCTGTTAAGTTTTGATTTTAAAGATGTTATAGGATGTCCATTGCAGTAAGTGGCTTGTATAAACCAGAGACCCAAGAAATATTACTGAAATGTGTGCCATCTGGAAGATATTATGGTTTGACAGATGTCAAAACAAGCAAATGAATTGAAGTCATGTCAAAGTATCAAAGGAAAAGACAAAGGAAAAAACAGTAAAAATGTATGCACTTATCAACCACCAACAGAAAGAAAATTCAATAATATATGCAAAAAGGAATTTCTTCATAATGTACATTTTAAGCATTAAAAAGAGAAGGTTAATATTTTCAGTTGCGATATTGTGAAAGAACGATTGTTATTCACCATGGACGACCCTTACAGTTCTTCCTGGATGAACCTTACAGTTCTTCCTGGATGCCAACTAATATTTTTTGAGCATAGTAGCCTAAAATTATGTTCTTGCCAGCTGTGTATTCATAAAAATTTCAAAGTATAAATAACATTAAAATAATGACATAGATTGTCTCACCAGTCTCTTTTTCCATCAACAGTATTTTTCCATTTTATATCTATGACTACTGCTAAACACACACAGAGAATGCAAACAATTAAATTTAGATTCTTGAAAAAATTATTATGGTAAAACCAAAATAATTTTTTTACAGAAAAAATAGGCCCACAGATGAGAATATTAAATCAGTTGTACTTGAGAGTACAATATGAGATAGGCTGTTAATTACTTTTAAATATTTATTTGCCATGTAATTTAGTGATCATAAAATCTACACAACCATCTAATAAGAGAAAAGCAAGATAATATCCTAATATTTTCTAAAATTTGAAAATCACAATAATTGTAATAAATTGCACAACTGGGTTCATTTCATACAAAGTAATACACCAACTGCTTGTAAACAAACCAATTTAAACTTAAAAAATTTTTATTTTATGACTTAAACCATAGCAGGTCAAGTGTCTTTTTTTGTTTGTCTTTCACTTGATTAATTCTCCAGATAAATAATCTTAATCTATTAAAGTGATAGTTGGGTCTTAATTTAATATCTTTATTGTTCATCTTGAATACTAAACTGGGTCTTTTATAAACTGCTGAAATATGCAATGTTTTCAAATGAAGTATGATTATAAGGACTCACCTGAAATATAAAGTTAATAACAACTCAAATAAATCTGTCAAGTTATAATTAATTACATCCTATTTCCAAACATTTCAAAGATTGTGCATTGAATTTTGATTTTTTTTTAATTATGTTTCTACAGTTTTCCAAATATAAAAGGGAATTGGAAAAATCACCTTAAACCTATCTTGTTTGTACAGTCATAAAACTTTGTCATATAATGAACATATCAATCAAATATTGACAAATTCTAAAAATTTTTTTTTAGTTAATAAAATTTCAACCACTAATGAAAAAGAAATAATTTTAGAATATTTTTACCTGTTTTAAGAGATTTTTCTTCATAAATAAAATCTAAATAATTATTGTGTCAAAGTTGTTCAGTATGAAGAACTGATTTTAGAATAGTCAATTGGCTTATTTTGTAATGTACACAATTTTAATATAAAAAAGTGTGCTGAAAAATTCTCGGCCTAACAAAGTAGTCTTTCCAAAATAAAATATTAAAATGTTGAGAAATGGGTGGGCTTGGCCAATAATTTTTCAGCAACTTTTCATTTAATCAACTATAAACAACTAACTGTAGTGTTTATGACACTAATACAACTTTTTATCAATTACAAACTACATTTTTTTAATTTACAAGTATGAAATGCTACAATTTATATAATTAAAGAATTACTTCTTGAAAGAGCCATATTAGTAATATGGGGAATTTTGTGTTTTATGGATAGAAAGAATGCTTAGACATAAAACTTTTTGGTCTCATAGCGATTGAAATATTTTTAAATTTTAAGTTGCTTACTTTATAAGTAATTGGTACATTACATTCTATACTTTTTATTTTACAAGAATTCCAGTACAAAAATACTTCAGTTTCAAATTTTAACAAATTCTTAAATTGGTTTAATCCATTTATAATCACTCTTCAACTTAAAATATATCTTGTAATCATTTTAAATACTCTTTCTAGAATAAAGTAGTCAAGCCACTACTTTTCATTATGAAAAAAACTAAATCCCTTAAAATTTATAGTAGGGTCACTAGGAAAATATTGATAGAAAATCCTGACATTTACATTAACACAAAGTAGATTTTTATTTCTTTTAGCATGATATATTTTTTTTCAATATTAAACTTGTAAAATCTACAAAAATCCAAC